TTGTATATCCAAATTTTGAAAAATAAATTTTGATAAAATTCTGATTTCTAAACCAGTTTCAGAATTTTTAAAAAAAAAAAAATCATTTACATAAAAGTTTATTGTATTGACCAAAGGATTTGCAAATTATTGCCTTGACATGATATTGTTGACACAGCTATGTGTATTCAATTTTTTGTGAGTAAACATCTTTAAGTAGCAAAACTTCAATGACAAACTCTTAGAAAAATTTATCTATTATTAAGGAACGTCTCGTCTGTCCTTAAACGGGTGACATACTCTGGCGTTTACGGCATATGGCTTCATTTAGAAGGGAACTTTAGAAAGAAATCTTTTAATCGACATGCATATGGTAACCATAAAATATTGATTATTTGTTTAACATCATTTTCTTTCTCTTGTAAAGTATGAATCAGTTGAGCTAGACTCTGTTGTGTCTTTTATTAAGAGTTTGAAAAAAGGGAATACTAGAGAGCTATAAATTTAAACCAATTCTCAGCACTTGGGGTCAATTAGCAGTAAGGGATTTTTGCCAACATCTACTGCAACACGCGGAACCTCAACCAAAAGACTGGGCTCCACGTCCTCCAGTGGATTCGGGCCAGCGACGTAAGGATCAACTCCTTAATTACTCTGTTGCTCTAGAGCAGACGCTCTTACCATCGAATCTGAAGCAGGAAAATGTATAAAATATAAGAACGACAAATGGTAGGGGGTGGTTTAAATCGGAGGATTTTAAAATGCTTGAATCTGTAGCTCTCTAGTGTAACTAGAGTTCCGCAGCAGAATGCCTATGGTGTTAAAATACTGTACGTTGTCTGAAGTTTATTTCAGTGTTTTTTTTTCACAGAATCCTACACCTTCAATTCATTCTTGAAATGTAAAATTTGAAATAAAGAATAAGTGATTTCACGTTCTTTATTTCAAATTTTATCTCCACGATCGAATAAATTTTCCTCTGACAGCAATATTTTCGAAAATAAGTATATTTAGGTATGTTTGCCTTTCCCTGTGTGTGCTTTCTGTGCAATTCAAAATTTATGTAAAAAAAAACAACATTTTTTAGCTCTGATCGCATTTTGTCCGTTGTCTGTCGACATTGAAAACTTTTCACATTTTCATCTTCAAACAGAGAGCTAAATTTGTTTAGAGGGCTTCTGGGCCCCTAAGATTTATGAATTTACAAAATACATTATAAGATGATAATTTGAATTGAATGAATTAAACAATCTTTATATTAAATGAATATTTGGAGATAATTTCGATTTTTCGTTAAGTATAATTTTTCACGGTATTGGAAAACCATATATTTGGGCTAATGTACTATAATGACACTCATTCCTTAAGCATTTATATGTGAGCGCAAGTGAGAACAAAAACGGTTATAAATATAAATATGAAAATATAAATTCTTTAAATTATATGTAGATTTCATGCATGTTCTCAACTGTACTCATGGTCAAAGTATCTTCTGATAAAGGGAATTTCAATTTGTTCAAACGAAGAACCAAGCCTTCTTCCAAGGGGAATAAATTAATTGCGAAATTGTGAAAAATCATCACATCTTTTAAAATTCTTGTTCTTAAGAACCACTGTGCTAGAAAATCTTAAACTATTATGTAGAAGCACCATAAGTGTATATTCAAGATTGTTCAAATTATGACCCTCTGGGGCACTAGTGGGCGATCAAATTTTTTTTCATAGGAATGCATACTAAGGAAAATCTTTAAAATTCTTCTTTTCAAGAACAGTGGGCGATCAAAGTTTTACCTAGGAATACATAATTCTTCTCAAGAACAGGAAAGCCTTGATTGGTCATATACTATACAAGCATCCTCAGGTGGTGTAGATTAAAGTTTGTTCAAATCATGACCCCCATCAGAAGGGTAGGACCACATGAAAGTTCAGACTAGGAAAAAAGTAACAATTAGTCAAAAATGTATAAGAATCTCTAGCTAGTGTAGATTCAGTTTTGTTCAAAACATACCCTCTCTTCCTTTTAGGAGTAGGTCAGGACCACGTATGCATTTAAACTTTTTCAATACTAAAGTAAATTTGCTTTTTTTTCTTGCCACAGTGCTCAGGTGTGCGATGTGGCCCCCTGGTCCTCTTGTTGAAAAATAAGGAATGAATCTATTTTTTCATATTCATCATTTATGATATGACAATTAAGCTATTCATTTTTTTAAGAAGGTTAATACAATATGATAGATGTATGTGAAAGTAATTCATTTAGGTCAAGTGCTTTTCAAGAATAGTTTAATAAAGAAAATTGGTTATTTATTAACTGAGATAGAATCAGTAACGTGCATATGTACTTATAGTTTACATATCGAATGCATAAGATGATAAGGCAATTTTGATCATACAATTAGGTCATACATGTACCAGTATGCTTTATTATCTATGTCCCATTGAATCAGCAGAGGATATCATAAAATTTACTGCTATAGAAAATGGCTGAAAAGAAAAACCTTCGTCCCAAAATTGCAGTTTTTGGACTTGGGCGAATCGGAAACGTTCATCTACGACATATTGTGCAAAGTTCTGCATTTGATGTAGCATATTTAATTGATATACCATCGATGTTTGAGACAATTCGGACTATGATCGACAGATACTCTTTAAAGGAAATTAAAAACAAAAATTATTAGCAATTCCAGGTGAGTGTCATATTAAGCTGTAAATCTAAATAGTAAAATTTTGAAGGATGCAGGGAAGTGTGCATCTTTAATAGTTAAAAAGTCAACTTATTTGGATTGCTGTAATATAAAAATATTTAAAAAAAAAACCCAACTTGATTATGTCAAAAACCTTTTCAAAAAATATAAAATAAAATTGCCTTTTCTGTCATTTACAAATAATAATAAATTGCATTTTTCTCTAGTTTGTGAATTCAAAGAAATCACTAAGTCCATTAACAATCTGTACATTTTACTAGCTTGGAAAAAGCAAAAATCAGTTTATTATTGAAAAGTTTAAATATAAAGTGATAAGGGGAGAGGGTATGATTTAAACAAACTTGAAAGTTGAATCTACATTAAGGATGCTTGCATATTTCTTTGACTACATGTGGCTTTATTGTCCTTTACATTTGAGCCCGCCCTATCCCCAGGGGTCATGAATTGAACAAGCTTGAATCTACACTACCTGCGAATGCTTCTAGATGAATATGACTAAAATTATGGCTTTACCATTCTTGAAAAAGAAGATTTTTAAAGATTTTTTCTACATATTTCTATGTAAAACTTGGATTCTATGTTTTGACCCCGCCCTACCCCTAGGGGTCATGATTTGAACAAAATTGAATCTTCAATACCCAAGGATGCTTCCAATTAAATATGATCATTCATGCCTCTGCTATTCTTGAGAAGAAGAGTTTTAAAGAATTTTCCTATATATTTCATAAAACTTTGATTGATTGTACCACCAATGTTCGAACAAAATTGAATCTTCAATACCTGAGGATGCTTCCCTATAAGTTTCATCTTACCTGGCACAGTGATTCTCGAGAAGAAGATTTTTAAAGAATTTACCTATATATTTCTATGTAAAACTTTGATCGGCCATTGTGGCCCCGTCCTACCCCCGTGGGTCATGATTTTAACAAACTTGAATCTACACTACCAGAGGATGCTTTCCTATATAAGTTTCATCTTTTCTGGCACAGTGATTCTTGAGAAGAAGATTTTAAAAGAATTTTCATTACATATTTCTATGTAAAAATTTGATCGGCCATTGTGGCCCCGCCCTACCCCCATGGGTCATGATTTGTACAAATTTGAATCTACACTACCTGAGGATGCTTCCCTATAAGTTTCATCTTACCTGGCACAGTGGTTCTTGAGAAGAATATTTTTAAAGAATTTTCCTATATATTTCTATGTAAAAATTTAAATTGTCTGTGGGTCATGATTTTAACAAACTTGAATACACTACCTGAGGATGCTTCCCTTGATTTTTTCTGGCACAGTGATTCCTGGAAAAGATTTTCATAAAAATTTTTATTTTTTCTTATAAAATAAAATTGCCATTTCTGTCATTTACAAAAAAAAAGTTTGATAAAATTGCATTTTTCTTTCGAAGAATTGTGGAAAGTTTTCAGACAGAAATCACAACCAGACGGACTACAGACAAAATATATCAGAAAAGCTCACTTGAGCTTTCAGCTCAGGTGAACTAAAAACCATTCTATAGATTAAAAAAAAAAGAGTTCCCATGATTTGTGATTGAATATAATTCACAGGAAGATTCAATAAATGTTAATATCTTTAAACAATCCAGTGAGTTGTGGATGGCTATAATCCACAGGAAAAATCTGCCATTCAGCCAACTGAAAGATCTGCTATTTAAACTACTGAAAGATCTGCTATTCAGTCAACTGAGAGATCTAATACTCAGTCAACTGAAAGATTTACCATTTAGTCAACTCAAAGATCTGTCATTCAGTCAACTCAAAGATCTGACATTCAATCAATTGAAAAATCTGCCATTCAGTCAAATGAAAGATTTACCATTCAGTCAACTCAAAGATTTGTCATTCAGTCAACTGAAATATCTAACATTCAGTCAACTGAAAAACTTGACATTCAGTCTTTTTTTTTTTAATTTAGTGTTTTATTTCCCCTTTTCGAACCACTCTGTTACGATTCAGGCAAATGAATGAAAAAATGTCATCCTGAGTGATTTTTTATCACACATTTACTCCTTTATTCAGTTGATATTGCATATACGACATCGTCTCATACCCACGGTTGAACTATATCAGCTGTATTAAATAGTACACGTGTAATATTAAAGTAATTATTGAAAAATGTAGATGTTTTAGAGAGGGAAAACATAATTACAATTATCAGCATGCTTATTTTTTCAACAAAATATTTTCCACTATATATGATTTAGAAGAATAATTTTTTAAAGGAAGAAACATACAAATCTAGATGATTATTATTAATAATTGTAAATGATTATTGATAATAAAAAGGATTTTTTAAAGTCAAATGTTAAGAGGATGGGTATTGAGAAAAAGAAATTCAATTTTATCTTATTATAGGCTTGACGCAGTTTTTATATGCACTACTGTTCACGGAAGAGCTGACCTTATCATCAAATCATTAAATTCTGGTAAGTATGACAAAAAAGTTATAAAATATATTTAATCGTTTACTTCTAAAAAAAATGTACCATTATCTTTTCAGATGATAGTGAATGCACAAATGAAAGTATTGGAATATTCAAAGTAACAGAAGGAAAAAAAAACACAAAATAATAAATAAAAAAAAATAAGATTAAGCATCAAGCCAATCGATCAAAGAGAAGTTTATTTACAGGAAAGCATGTTTTTGCTGAGAAGCCGCTAGCTTTAACTGAGAAGGAAGTGTCTGAATGTTACAAAGCAGCCAGGGCAAATAACAAGACCCTGCAATGCGGATTTGATAAGTACAGTAAATCACTCTTTATTCGGGAAAATTTTTTTTTCTATAAATTACGCGAGACAGTGTGCTCGCAAAATTTTAATTCTTGCGTATAATAGTATTTCTTAAGATGATATAGAGGAATAATCACAATTCGTGAAAAGTTTGTCTTGCTTATCAGGAGTCAATGACTACAGGTATCACGCGAAAATTTAGTGATCTCATTTGAATCTTCAAAAAAATCATAATATTTGCAAATATTAAAAGAAAATACCATCATTTAGACATTCCATAATACTTTTTGTAGAAGGTTCGATGTGAGTATTCAGAAATTATACGAAAAAATTCGGAGTGATGACTTAGGTATTCTACGAACCATAAAGTTGTCGGCTAGAGAACTTCCATCCACATGTACAAAGGACTATATCTTATCCTCAGGTGGGACCTTACATTTTTAAGACTGATTCAAAAATCGCGATATATACAGTGAAACTTGTCTATTCCGGATGATGTGTAATATAAAACCTTGTCTTATACAGTGTAAAATTTAGGTCCCTTTCACTAAATCTATTGTTTGAAATATTCTCTAATCCAGAATGTTGTATAATTTTATGGAACCGGTGGGTCCGTATTAGACAGGATTTACTGTATTTAGCTGCACAAATTGTTATTTTTCCTTTTCGTATAAAACGTAATTATGAGTATCTGTTCACCTACAGGTTAATATGAGAAATTTTCTTTTTGTTTTAAGAGTATTCTAAAATAATCTTTTTATGCAAATAATGTTACGTTGTACACATGCATAATTAAATTAATTCCAACTTAAGCATGATTTAAATATTTTTATACAGGTGGGTTCCTGACTGACAGCGCCATTCATGAGTTTGATTTGTTAGTGTGGTTGGCTGGGGAGCGGCCGCAGTCAGTGTTTGCTTTTGGTCATGCGCACAATCCAATGATTAAAGAATGTGGGGATTTTGATAGTGTTAATGTGGTACTGAAGTTTCCGAGTGGATTGCTTGCATTTATTGAAAACTTCAGAGGAGTCCCGTATGGTTATGATCAGAGATATGAGGTATGAAATATGGTGAAGAAAATATATATATATAAAAAAAGAAAAAGAAAAATCATATTACTATGAACAAAGTAACATATGCACGATAGAAAAAAATCTGGTTTTTTAAAACTTTATCGACGCTTGTCTATTGAATAATTTTTAGGTTTTAGGTACAAAGGGATGTGCTATCATTGAAAATCCTAAAGAATCACATTTGTGCTTATGGGACGAGAAAGGAATGCATTCTGACCTGATGTGGCAACAGGCTCTAACACGCTTCACTGATGCCTACAGGAAAGAAATTGAACACTTTGCAGCAGTTATTAAAGGTTAAAAAAACACCCCCTTTTCCAAAGCCTAATTTTATTTGAAGAAAACTTTTAAAATTTCTTTGACGCTTTTTAGACAGCAATAACAAAAAAAAAAGATTAGATTTCAATATTAACATAATTTTGTCAATATTTCTCGAAAGATATATTTTTGTATTTTTACAAATTACTTGAATTCACACTCGGAAGGATATTTTAAATTTCAGGAGAAACTGATTGTATTGTTAAAGGGGAGGAAGTGACATATGTTAGTCGGTTATGTGCGTCTGCCACGGAGTCTTTAAAGCAAGGAAAAGTAATAAACCTTTAATAGAAGAATGTGTTGAATACGAGGTGTTGTGTTATGTGTGGACTATGTAATTCAATACATGATCTTGTTTGCATATACAGTCTATAAAAAAGCGAATGGGGATCGACTTTTTTCATAGTATTTTTAAGCTAACACTTAGGGATTTTTTTCGTTTGACCGCAGATCCTAACAAATAGCGCAAGGCGTATTTAAACAGTCCACAAGGAATACTTGCGCTTTTATGACTTCTGATCTCTTTTAATGATATTAGAGGTCCGTATTTGCTCTGCTCTTGACTGGTGTTATATATCTTCATATTTTTTGTGATATAATTTTTTTTAAAAATCATGAATTATACATCTTGTCCTTGTTGATATATACATGTATTTATAAAGAAATCACCATAAAAATATAATTTTTTCTTTTTTTATTTGAAATATATATAAAATAGAGAGATTCTAATGCAACATTTACTTTACATTAGTAAATTTTAAAAATTTATTTCAATTAAGTTTTCCTCTGTTATTTTGTCAACCAAAAGGCTGACTGTATGTGAAAAAATATTTTAGAGAAAACCATCCCATTCACACATGTAAGCATTCTTGTAGTAACACGGCCTATCGTTAAACTCGCCATCATAAAACATGTCTACACAGTTCCATTCCGGTCCCCCATCCGGGTTTCTGTCGGACCACCTTAAATCCCCCACCGGAGATTTGGAATATTCCCAGACAAAGTAACTCTCGTTCTCACTATCATTTGCTCCTGTCCATATGGTACAGTCATATCTGTCCTCACAGGCTTATATGAGAAAAATACAAATTACTGTAAAATCATATATTTTCGTGGTTCAAATTTTCGAGGTTTAAGGTTAAAAATGTTGGTTTGGGGATTTGATTTCACAATTGGAGGATATAATATGAAAATTTATATATCGTGGTGGTCATAAATTCTAGAGTATCTCCATACATTGAAAACAAGTATGTTATTATTTTACATTTCGTACCTCACACATATAGGGCTAATATCACAAATGATCACATAAAGGATCTTTGAATTTGGTAGAAGTAAGACAATTCATTAACCCTTGATAGTTCTTATAAGATCATCATATAAATTAAATTAACATATGGATATTTTTTGAAAAACTCACAAACATTCGTTAATACATTCTGCGTTATCCAGTCGTTTTCCTCTGCATCGTGAACTTCTACTAGGTAAGACTGGCAGAGCTGACACGACTTCTGAAAATCCATAATTTTTTCATCAGTTATTAAACTTAAAGTGCATGATTCCTTTGTTTTGTTAAATCAAATGAATGAAGAAGTATCGATTAGATTGCTTAAAAGACATTTGTAGGATATTATCATGAATTATGCTTATTCAAATGATGTTTTCAATAGGAAAGGATGACTAAGTTCGTTTGTTAGGAAATATAAAATTTGAATTAACAAATCACTATAGAAATAGAATAAGTATAAAACTAATTATTCATAATTCATATATCAGAGAAATGAATAACCGTATAAATAATGAACCAATTCAAATGCATTGAAATGAATATATCAAGATGGACATTTACCATTTATTTGAATCCCTCGGTCTAAAAAATATAACAAAATAATGCTAACCATTGCCGCTTCTTGGGTATGAGAGGTATTTATTAGACGGTAGCATTTTATTTCATTGCTGCATATCCATCCCGTGACACAATCTACAACAAATCAAAAATATAATAGATTCATTGGTAAAAAGCTTGAAAAACTTCCTCAATTCTAAAATGACAAATATTTAAAAACTGGCTAAATATATACAGAGAGACAATTAGCTATAATGGATATAATTCGTTTACAGATAAAATCAGTTTTGGAAACAAACTATGGCGATTATTAAAGTGTTTTCTCTAGATTGTTGGGGGTATGTGATGGCGCAAAAACATCTTCCAATGTTCGGAGGCCCATTTTTTTTGGGGGGGGGGATCTGCAGCCATATTTTGTGTATTTTTGTTTGATAAGAATGATCATAAATTTAACATAATTTTTCTATGCTTAATGTAAAGATTTAATGCAATTCAACTATACAAAATCGGTCCCATCAGAATAACATATACATGAAGCAGATATATAAAGTTGGTATCTTAAACATTCAGAAGATTACATGCAATATGATTAAAATTATGAATTTATATCTATTCATTATTTCCCAGCATTTCCCGGGAAATACTAGTAATACTAGTAAGATCCTCATTTCACTGTATTTGTCAATAGTTTGTCGTTAATAAATTTAATTAAAGAACATGTTCTAACTGCCATTTGGGCGACCATGACACGTGAGTAAAATTAAAAGATAACATGATTTTTAAAAAAATTAAATACAACTATGTGTCATCCTTTGAATTATATGGCTGAAAAGTAACACTTTCATAAAATGATCATTCGTCGATCAAGTGAATATAAATAATATCATAATTCTTACCGTGACACGTGATATTGACATCACTCCAGGTTCTGTTCAGCAGACATTCCACAAGTCCGTCCCCAGTCTGACCAAACCCATCAATGCAAGATAATTTGTGCTTGCTTCCGAAATTTAAAGTGTTTTTTGAATTGAACTTCTTCACGTTTTCTGGAAGCTGTTGAGTTGATGGATGGCATTCTTCATGAAAAATATTGTAATTGCTGCATTTATAAGACCAAATACCTGAATAAGTTATAATAAAATCAGATCGCTTGACATGAAAATTTAAATACAGTATTTCTATTCACCACATTTCAACATATTTCATCATTGAAATTATTTTAGTATCTTTGAATAAATATTATTTAAGGTACTTGAAAGTTACAGTTATTTGACAGGATTTGTATACCATGGATGTACAATGTAAGCTTTCAGCATAATCACAGAAGATGATATTTTTATAATTTTTTTCAATTAAACTATAAGAGTTTACGAAAGATAAATTTTGTGTCCCTTCAAGTTTTAAGAACTCAAGTCGCCTGAAACAGATCAGCAACGTAACGAAAGTCGATCTTTCGCATAAAAATGAAGGTCAAATACCAAAAAACAAGATACTAAGAATGTATGTATATTATTTAAAGATTACCTTGTATACTTACGTCAAAATATCTTGAATTTGTTCCAACATCCTCATACATAGAGAAGTTGAGACGTTGAAAAGAATAGATGAAGTGATATGAATTGAACTGAATAAATTGTTTAATAGGTTAATTTACTTTAGGAATATATTAACTTTCTGTGGGGGATATGTTATCATAATGTTACATGTCAAGGATTTAAAATTTAAAATTTAAATTTAAAAGTGCAGGTATGGTAATTCAAATTCATTTTGTGAATATTATAAATATTTAAAACTGACGTCTGGTTTCGAAAAATTTCTCCTTATTATTCATAAGTCAGCCTTTACACCAGGGATGAATTAGTTAAAATGTTTGTTTTTCTAAGTGCTGTTTTCATTTTCAATCCAATCCAAATGCATGAAAAATTTAGAAATATACGAAGAAAGAATGCAACTCAATACTGTCAAAGCCATGCAGGGTCCCACAGACATCACGCATTGATACCTGTTTATATTGATTCTTGACTTTTAGATTTGATCTTTAAGTGTTGAGCGTTTTTCTTTTACATTCTCTGCTTGTATGAAGTTAACTAAGAACTCGTGGTCACACAGCACAAATAGTTTGGAATTATATCGTTATAATTTTGACTTTTAAACATTACATAATTTCGTACCTGAGTGATATAGAAAATCTCTGCTGTTTTAACATGTCACAAGGTTAATAAAAAAGTGACGTCATTAACAGGTAAAAAAATAAAAATCCTGTCACCTGAAACAGAAACTTTAAGGAAATCCGTTATTTCACGTAAAATATTATAATCGAAGGTAAATTTTTTTAACAATTGGGTTCTTACAATAACTTAAAGGAATTCTTACAAAAGAAATAAAATACTTCAAGCAAGATGAGCTGCAACTTTGATGTCGGTATTTTTTGTTGCAAAATTGTAAATAACTATTTCAGTGACAGAAAAATAACGTTAATAAACTTCTGTTGTTCGTATTTGCAATGAAAAAACTATTTATAAGCTTTGATTGAATAACAATTACATTATCGGCGTCCTGTACAATAATGATTTCGTATATAAATCTGTATAATTGGATTGTATATAGAAGTCTTTCTTCTGTCTCATTTTAGTCTGATCACAAAGGTTTAAGTTACATACAAATTTATCAAAATAACATTTCAAATCACATTATTGGGAAACTCTCCATGAAAAAATAAAAGCGCTATGGTTGATCTCTTTCATTTTACTTATCGATACAAGACTCAAATTCCCAATTATTATTTTCGATTTTTTAGATAAAGGTTTGCTTGTACCATCTGTCCATAAAGGTTTAATTTTTATGCTTTTGTTTAAAATTAGCTTTAAAAAATTATTTTCAAAACACCCTTACACATTATCTAAAAAAAAAACGTCTGCTAAATTTGGCCTGAAGGTCTTTAATGACACTTAAAGATTAGTCATTACATATTAAGACAAAAAAAGAATATAAATTTTATCAAACAAAGATGTTTACATACCTGACAACTTGCATGTTGCGGAAAGGTAAGAATCCTTCATATATTTTTCGTTAAATGCACATTTTAGGCTTTTGCATCCTTCTGTTATTTCCTAAAAAAAAAAATAGGTCTTAGAAAAATAACTAAAAATGTTCTCTCTCTGTCTCTCTCTCTCTCTCTCTCTCTAATATGGTAGTCTTTTCTTTTAAAAAATTCGTCGTAAACAAAATACAGAAGTTACGTGAATACATAATCAATAATACTCTACCGACTGAGTAACCATGTCAGTTACACTCAAATAAATAAAAATTTTGAAAACGTACCAATGACCAAGGTTCTCGACGACTAAAGATCCAACCATCTCCATCTTCATGTTTTGTATCAGCACTGGTGTCGTTTTCATAATTCAACTCAAAAAATATTGCAGCCTGTCTGTAGTTGAAAGACAGACATCCAGATCGTACAAGACATTCTCTAGCACAATCCAATTGACTAATCTCTGCTATAGTGGTCAGCAAGCTTCCCAACAGTCGCTTACTCCATTGTAGATTACCGTAACCATCTTTCAGGGATACATTTGTCAAAGCAACGCAGAAGAAAATTGCATTTAGAAAGTACCTACAATATAAATGTACCATCCTCGTTTCCTTAACATTTACAC